CCTCCAACTCCTGGCCTCAAGCGATCCTCCTGCCTCAGCCTCCTGAGTAGCTGGGACCACAGGTGTGTGCCACCACCCTGGGCTAATAAAATCTTGATTCTTAGTTTAAAAAGCCTACTCGGATGGGTACAATGACTTAGCACTTTGGGAGGTTGAGGCGGGAGGATTACTCAAGGCCAAGAGTTCAAGATCGGCCTGGGCAACATAACAAGACCCCCGTCTCTACAAAAAATTTAAAAAATTAGCCAGACACATGCCTATAGTCCCAGCTACTGGGGAGACTGAGGCAGGAAGATCACTTGAGGCCAGTGATTGCACCACTGCACTCCAGCCTGGGTGGCAGAGCTTGTCTCAAAAAAAAGCCTACTCAACCACACAGCTCTTCCATTCTGGGCAAGTAGTACGTCTGTTCTCTCAGTTGCACAGGCCACAGACTTTGGGGTTACACTTGACTCCTCACCCTCCATGCCCCATGCCTTGTCACCTCCACGTCTTTCCCTGGTCCTCTTGCCTGGCACCTGGATTAGCCCAGTAGCTTCCTGGTTGCTCACTCCACCTCCCCTTGCTCCTTGAAACTCTTACCACACAGCAGCTGGGTGATCCTGTCTAAATACTAAACTGAACCATATCACTCTCCTGGTCTACACCCTCCATTGGCCTCCCACCCCACTTGGAATAAAGCCGAAGCCCTCATCGTAGCCTACAAGGTCCCCCAGGGCCTGGCCCACGGCCACTGTGCTCTCCCTGTCTTCCTCTCACCCTTTCTGTTGCAGGCGACACACTCTCGCCCTCCCCAGGGCCTTTGCATTTGCCGTTCCCTCTCCTTGGGACACTCTTTCCTCAGATATTTGCATGGTTTCCTCACTCCTTTCATTCAGATATTTTCTCACGTCTTTTTGGGGAGGCATTCCCTAGAGCAGCCCCGTGCATTAGAGCTAGTTTTCCATTGCTGCGTAACAACCTACCCCCAAACTCAGTGCTTAAAACGACAATAAACTCCTATTGTCTCTCAGTGCAGTTTGGCAGGGTGGGTCCGCCCCAGGTCTCTCTGAGGACGCAGTGACGACATCAGCCAGGGCTGCTGCCTCTGAAGCCTCCCCACGTGGGTCCCCCAGTGGCTCCTGAGTGACCTGAAACGGAGAGCAGCAGGTGGAATGTTCTTTCCGGACCTCGGAAGTCACATTCTTCTACGTGCCATTCTCAAGAAGGAGGCTCCGAGCCACGTCCACATCCGAGTGGGGGAACTGGCCGCCACCTGTGGGAGGGCTGGTGTGTCAGAGAAGCGGCCGACACCCGCTAAACCGCCACCATCCCGTCGCACCCCGGTCCTCGTTCTGCTTCCCGCGTCTTCAGACCGTGTCCCTCTGCGCAGAGGGGCCTCAGCTGCTCATTCGTCCGCCATGTGCTTTGGCGCCAGGGAGGCGGGGAGTCTAACCTCTTCACCTCTGCGTCCCCAACAGCGTCCGGCACGTCGCAGGTGCTGGGTAAATGCTGCGTGAGCTAAACGTGGACGTGCAGTCTTGCCCACAGGAGGGTCTGTGGGCACCTTGTGGTGTTGGGAAGGTCGGCCTTCCAGGACGGGGGCGTTCGGGACGTCAGCGGGGAGAAGGCCAGAGCAAGGAGGGACCTGTGGAGGACGCTGGACAAAGGGTGGGGCGTGGCCGGCATCGGGCTGGCAAGAGGGCCTCGCTGAGCCTGGGGGCTCGTTCCCTGCAAGGGCGCTTGGGCTCCCCCAGGTCGGGACAGAGGCCCCGGCCCAGCACAGCTCTCCACCCGAGGCCAGCCCTGCGGCGGCCAGCCATGTCCCCGCCGCAGTGTGGAGGGAGGCCCTCCAGCAGCAGGAGGAAGGCCTGTCCTCTGCCACTGGCGGCCATCGGCAGGGATCTCTGGACATGGCTTCTGCCCATCCCATCTTCCCTGCCTGTCAGCTTCTTCCTCTCAAACTAGCTTCCTCTTGATAAACAGTGTGTCCACAGGGCTCCTGAGGACCTGAGGCCTGGGGCAGGCAGCGGCATGCTGGCAAACTCTCTCTCTCTGAATAGGGAAAAAAAGCCCTGAATTGTCGGGTTTGATGATTTCCACGGCATAAACGATCCCATCATGGCCCATTTCAAGCTCCCAGCTGTGGAGCAGCCACAGATTGCTGAACACGTAGTGGCCTAGCAGCCGGCTCTGCCGGACCAGGAGGAGCCAGGCCCAGCACCCCACTGTGGGGGCAGTGGCCGCGCCCCTGCTGAATCCCTTTCTTCCCATGCTGCCCTGGAGCCGTCTGGGCCCAGGTCCGTCCACCCCCAGGCTCTGACCCGCCAGAGGCCACAGAAGTTTGGAGGCAGTTTAGCCCCTGAGCAACGATTCCCCTACACAGAGGGCAGGAGCTCAGAGAGGCAGCTTGGCAAACACACGGCACAGGCCCCGCTCTCAGCTCGGGGGATCCAGGGAGTTTGGCTGGTGGACAGGACAGTGGAAGGGAGCAGGGAGTGTGACCCTGAGGGGGAGGCATGGCTCCCCCACGGCACTGCTCAGGACAGCACCTGTGTGTGGGGACCCTCCTGCTTCCCCCACTGGGGGCTTTTGCTGTCAGGGCTGTGACTCCTGAGCTGCTATTGGAAATGGTGATGTCACTGGTGGGGGGTGGAGCTTCAGCCCTCCTTCGGGCTAGGGAGGGGGAAGCACAGCACACCCCAGGGATGGAGGGGAACAAAGAATTAGGATCCCGAGGACCAGAGCGACAAGGAAGGCTATGGAAAGGGGCGGGAGGGGCGGAGGCCTGGGAGTGCACTGCGAGAGGGGCTGGAGAAGGAGAGACGTGCGGGACAGAGGACATGAGGTTCCAACCTAAGCGCCACCCATGCTGGAGCACACTGTGCTTCCTGGTGTCTAACCTCAGTCCCAGCCAGGTCGGGTCCAGACTCCCAGTCTCTCCTGGAAGAGGCAGTCCACAAGCGGGGACAGCCACTGTCGCTCTTGCTCCTCTTCACCCTGGGGAGGGGGTTCCGAGTCACACAGCCAAGCAGAAGGGCCTCTCCCGCACTCTGAGCCTGTGCGGAGAAGAGTCCCAGCGTCGCGCGGCCACGCATGGCTTAGAGCCTGCCCGCGCCTCGCCTCGGGGCGTCCATCCCGCAAGAGCCGGCCCTGAAATACCACCGCTGCGGGAGGACTCCTGCGCGCGCACGGACGCGACACTCGGTCATATAAAGACAGGCAAGGGCACGGGCTGCACGCGGTGCCAGGACCCCTCTGACGCTCCCAAGCTCCGCTGCCTGCAGCGTGGGTCACTGTCCCGGGCCCCCTGCACGCGCACACACACGCACGCGCGCACACGCACCGGCGCTGCCCGGCTCACGCGCGCTCCGACAGACTCCCGCGAACGCAGGCGCGCGCCGGCGCGGGAGGCGCCCCTCGGCTCGTGCTGGGAAGCGGGGGCGGCGGGAGGGTGGGAGACGCTGGCCCCGCTCGCAGCTCCGCAGCTGCCGCAGTCGCCGAGGCGTCGGGACCGGGAGCAGCGCAGCCGCGGAGCCGCCGTGTCCCCTCCGCGCGGGGCGCTCGGGCAGCGCCGGGACCCGCGTCAGCACCGCGGACAGCGCCCCCCGCTCGCGCACCCCTGCCCGGACCCGCGCCCGCACCGCGGCCCCCGGCGAGACTCGGCGTCCTCAGCCCGCGGGCGGGCGGGCGCAGGAAAGCCTGGGCGCCCGCGGGGGACGCGCCGAGGGCGCCGCGTTCACGCCGCCCCGAGCCAGGCCCGCGGCGGCCGGAGCCCATGAGCGCCATGCGCCTGCTGACACTCGCCCTGCTCTTCTCCTGCTCCGTCGCCCGCGCCGCGTGCGACCCCAAGATCGTCAACATCGGCGCGGTGCTGAGCACGCGGAAGCACGAGCAGATGTTCCGCGAGGCCGTGAACCAGGCCAACAAGCGGCATGGCTCCTGGAAGATCCAGCTCAACGCCACCTCGGTCACCCACAAGCCCAACGCCATCCAGATGGCCCTGTCGGTGTGCGAGGACCTCATCTCCAGCCAGGTGCCCGCCCATCCCCTCCCCCACGACCTCCCCGCCTCCTCCCCCTACTCCCCCAGTCCCAGTTCCCTCCCCTTATGAGACCACCCTGGAGCCAACTGGCTCCTTCTGGAGAGGCGAGGTCTCGCCAGGAACCAACACCAGGGTCTGCTGGTTCCCCCATCTCAGCCCCAGGCTGGTCACCTGCCACCCGGGCTCGTCCTCAGAAGGTCTCTGGGCTCCAGGCCCTTGGCTGGTGTGTGTCAGCATGGAGGGTGGGCATTCTGGGCACAGGGCAGAAGTGCCCATCCCAGCCACAGGCCTGTGCTGCAAAGCTTTAAACAGAACAGGGCCTGGGGCCATCTTTGTTTCTGCTTCCGGATTCTCCTACCCTTCCTCCGGCCCTTCCCCTGTCCACCCGTCTGCCTGAGAAGGGAATTGGCCCAGGTGTCGAGCAGGCTGCTTTGTGGGATGGGAGTGGGGGCTGTCAGGGCACAGCATGGGAGCTGGCGGCAGCCCCGCTGCGCTGTGGGGGCGGCCTGACTCCTGAGATTTCGTTGTCAGGGCTGTCCGCCCTGGGCTGAGCTGCCTGCTGAATTCCAACGAAGCTGCGAGCAGCACCGCAATGCAGCTTTTACGTAAGAGTCAGGACGCCACCAGCCAAGTGCTGCTCACACACGCTCACCTGATGGACGCAGCACGTGCATGGCCAGGCACGCTCACACGCACACACACATGTGCATTCACTAGTGCACGTTTGTGCACCTCACTGTTACACAATCAATTGCACAGGCGTATCCATGGACACACGCTCATGTGCCACACACTGCTGGGCATGCACACCCAGGCACACACATATGTGTGCGCTTACATGCACTGGTTCGGTCACACACACACAAGTATACAAACATAGATATGTTTGGCATATGATACATACACACATATCCCAGAACACGTTCACAAACACCGGCATGGTCACACACAAACACACACACACACCCCCATACGAGCACCGGCCCATGGCCCACTGCCGGGCACCTGTGCGTGCAGACTGGAGAGGAGGGCCAGGCCAGGAGAGCCAGTCCAAGTAGCCCCAGCCACAGGGTCCCTGCCAGTTTTGCTCAGAAATCGCCTCCCCACCTCACAAGCCATTGCATGCCCCACCCGCCGAGGGCACCAAGGGACAGGACTGGGTGACCTCTCTGTGGCCAGGGGCTTCAGTCACGTGTTCCATCTGAGGTGGAGCAGGGACACGGAGGCGTGAAGTCCAGGGGTGCAGGCAGGGCCCTTTCTGGGGAATCCCTTCTCCAACTTACAGTCTTGCTGTCTGTGGGCATTGCCCCCAGAGCCAGGGCAACAGCAGCTGTCACTCACAGGACACACCTTCTGGTCCAGGCACTGTCTTGACATGTGGGGCCATGCACTGCACCCCCTACCGCCATTTGCAGAAGCAAGTGGGACCTGTGGCTCTAAAAGGCGCAGGCACAGTTGGAGACAGACACAGGTCCTTCCGACATGAGGGTGGTGCGGACCCCCAGCCATCTTCCTCCCTGCCTTGGGAGGAGCTGCAAGAGGAAGGGAGGCGTCCACTCCAGGGAGTGGAGCCACTGGCCTCAGGTGCACCCAACATGGGCCTTGGTCACGGCAGGAGGCTGCGCTGCCTGCCTTCCTGGAGGAGGAGGCCAGCACCCAGGTCAGGGCTGCGTCCTGTTCAGAGCCCATCTGGGGCCCAGCCCCAGGGGCACTAGCGAGAGGGACCAGGCCTCTCTGGGGGTTCCTTGTGGAGCTCCCCTCAACCTGAGGCACACCTTGGGAGCTGCCACCCTGTCTGGGGTGCTGGCCTCCACCCACGTGACCCAGGACGGGGTACAGCCTGAGTGTCGACCTCCTGGTACGGGACCAGCTGTGCTCCCCAGCCTACCTTGGGGTGCATCCCATGCTCAAGTGCGGGGCACAGGCCCCAGGGGACATAGGATATGTCACCCTGCCCTGCAGAGGCCTCACGGTCTGGGCTAGGGCTGCCCCTCCAAGGCCCCGGCCAGCAGTGTGAAGGGTGAAGGGGGAACCGGGCGGGGCCTGTCCTCCTGTGTGTGGCATCTGCCCCACCTCTGCGACTGGTTTACAGACAGTCTTGGGGTCTCCTCCCCTGCATGTGGGGGTGTGTCCAGAGCTGTGTGCACACCAGTGGTGCCACCCAGACCCTCCTGTGGCCTGCTGAGCTCAGCTCCTGCTGCTTCCGGATCCCGGACTCTGGCGCAGTGCCCGGCCCACCCCTGCTCGAGCTGACCCTGTCTCCTGTGTCCACAGGTCTACGCCATCCTAGTTAGCCACCCACCTACCCCCAACGACCACTTCACTCCCACCCCTGTCTCCTACACCGCCGGCTTCTACCGCATCCCCGTCCTGGGGCTGACCACCCGCATGTCCATCTACTCAGACAAGGTAAGCCTAGGGCCCTGCATCGTGCCGGGCAGGTCTCTGCCCTTGGGAGACGCTCACACATAACTCACACGCACCACACACTCGTGGTCTCAAGGACACTTGCACGCATGCACGCTCACGGACTGCCACGTGTCCAACCCCCCGCTGCTGCTCAGTCACGCCCACACGCATACTCACACATTTGCACTCACGGGCACCCTCACACGCACCTTGCACAGGCAGATGGCCCGCCGGCAGGTGACAGGTACCAATTACATCCCCTCCAGCAGGAAGGTCCCTGAGGGCTGGGAGACGGGAAAACAGGGAAACTTCCTAGACAGGTGGACTCGGAAGGGGGAATTTGGGGAGCTGGGGAGCAGGGCCCCAGGAGGAGGAAAAGCTTAGGCGGAATGGGGGTGCACGTGCCGGCAGCGAGGGCGTGGTCACCGGCCTCTGCCACGGCCGGGCAGGGGTGGAAAGTGACGCCGCGTTTGCATCGAGTGGGTGGAGGAGGCAGCTCATGGCAGAAGTGGTGGCCTCGGAGCTCCGTGCCCCCCAGAGCTGCGGGCACCTCAGCTCAGCCTCCTGTGGAGCCCTTGTGGCCCACGGGCTGGGGCAGGCGGTCTCTGTCCAATCCTGGAACAGCAGCTAGAAGAGCCGAGCAGCCACCCAGTGAGTTTTGCAGGAAACTGTAGCCTGGAGACGCACGGGACCTGCCTTAGGTCTCACCTCCCTCAGTCAGCCGCAGTTCTGGGAGCACCCACCAGCTGGGGATGCTGACTGGCCCTGGGGCCTGGAAGGGCCACAGCCTGCTCCCTTCCACCCTGCAGGCCCAGGGCCACCTGCAGGCACACCTGGAGGGGCCACATGGCAGGGGCCATCGGGCCTGATGCCAGGCCTTCTGAGTCCCCCATCTTCTCCAGACTCCTCCTGCCTGGGGCCGCAGTCCCAGCGAGAGCTGCCTTAAGGCACAAAGATGGTCCCAGACACACCAAGCACGTGGGAGGATGGGGACGGGTTTGCCCTCAGGCGAGGACAGACCCTCCTCCAGCTCTGAAAGCCCTGGCACGCCCCAAGGTGCCCGACTGCTCCTCCCAGGCGACTTCACCCTTGGCCCTGAGGAGCGAGGGGCGGTGGGGGGTGGGGTCTCATTCCCGTGCCCTCTGGCCACGGCCTCCTTCACCCCCTTGGGCACCAGTTTGCTCCTATGTAAAGGGGGAAAATGGCCACGAGGAAAGCAGCCAGGACGGAGGAGAGGTCGCGAGAAGCGGCAGCACAGGCAGGGCAGCCCACAGGAGGCTGGGGCAAGGCTGAAGCCCACAGCTATGCCCAGCCCACTCACGGCCCACATTCAGCCACCCTTGAGCCCAAAACACAGACCAAAAAGGCCAGCCCAGGAGTCTCGCGGCCCCATGGCAACGGGGACAGGGTCAGGGGACATTCTTCACTTCGAGGCACTGTCCCCAGGCCTTGAAGAGGGAACAGGTGGCCTCAGAAGACCACAAGATCAATGTGGCGCCACAGGGCTGCTGCAGGGACCATGGTCACCTGCACAGACACAGAGAACCCAGGCTGAGCAGGCAGGGCTGCTGCCGCCGTGCTAGCGTGTGGGAAGCAGGGCAGGGCTGGTGAGCAACCACTGGGACTCAGGAAGAGGGGACACGTGGCCCAAGAGTGAGGACTTCCCAATAAGTAGTTACTGCACTTGGGAAGGACTCCACGTGCGGCCACGTGGGCTCCTTGAGAGGCTGCATGTCAGGGAGAGTTTTCTGAGCTCAAGTTGTCCAGCAAAGAGGTGGGCTGCCGGGGAGGGGTGAGCTCACCCACTCCACAGAGATGGTGTCCCTGTCAGGGTGCCGCTGTGGCACTGCCCAGACTCACATTAGGCGGGGGAGGAAAGGCCAACAGGGTGGCGCCTGGTGGGAGGAAGCGGGGTCCCCAGGGCCCAGCAAGTGTCCCCAGCAGGCAGGAAGTGGGGTCCCCAGGGCCCAGCAAGTGTCCCCAGCAGGGTGGGGACCCAGGCCGGTGGCGTGTGCCCTGCCTCAGTGCCCCTGTGCCCACAGAGCATCCACCTGAGCTTCCTGCGCACCGTGCCGCCCTACTCCCACCAGTCGAGCGTCTGGTTCGAGATGATGCGCGTCTACAGCTGGAACCACGTCATCCTGCTGGTCAGCGACGACCACGAGGGCCGGGCGGCGCAGAAGCGCCTGGAGACGCTGCTGGAGGAGCGCGAGTCCAAGGTGAGGGCCGGGCCGCGGCGGGCCTCGCGGAGCAGGAGGAGAGGCGCGGGCGCCCGCTGTGTCTGTGGCTCCGTGTGTGAACACCTTTCTCTCCATCGTGCATGGTCAGCAGCACCACGTCTGGCAGCGCCCGCCCCAGCCTGTCCTCCGCTCATTTCACTTGCTTTTGCCATTAGTCGAAATCTCCTTCGTGTCAGTCCCTGCGGGGCGAGGGCTGGACCACCTGGAGCTCCGCAAACACCCCACCCCGGCCCGCCATGGCCGCTGCCCACGGGGCCAGCCAGCCTCTAACCGCGGGGCGCCGCCTGCGCCGACCACCCCTCCCTAGGGCGCTGCTCCCCACCGCGACGGCGGCCTCGGCCCTCTCCCTGAAGGCCCCAGCCTCTGCCTGCTGGGACACCTCTGTGTCCTCCCCCAAGCCTGCAGCTCACAGCTCATGAATCCCAGACCCAGACACCTGCCACCCCCACCCGGCCTGGCCCCCCAGGCTCCCCTGCCCCCCACCACGGGACTCAGCTCGGGGCCCTCACCGGGGCCCATGAGATGCGCTGGCTCCCACCCCAGCCCAGCCTGAGTCCACTCTGTGGGGCGGCGGAGGGATCAGAGCCAGGGTTTCTGGGGGTCTGAGTGACCCCTGCCCCCTTCCCTGCCCCGTCATTTCCTGAGAGGAGCTGGCACTCAGCAGAAGAGACCCGGGACCCCCAGGGCCCTGGGCGCTCAGCACCCGGGCCGCGGCTCCCGGGGCCAGGCGGAGAAGCAGGGAGGCCTAGGCTGAGAGGGGCCCAGAGGCCAGACCCATGGAGTGGCGGGGAAGCAGGTTCTGTCCGTGAAGTCAGCGCTGGCTTCATCAAACTTAGCACCATGCTGGGGCCCCCCCACTGTGCCACAGGGCCCTGGAAGGAGTAGAAGGCCCAGGTTGGGGGGTTGAAGCCAGAGGGCAGACCAGAGGGTCCTGGGGGTCCTGTCACAGGGCGTCTGCTGAATCTGGGTGGGGGGCTGCCTGAGAGCTCTGAGGGCCCCCCGAGACCGTGCCCCCTCAGCCCCAGCACCCAAGAGGCACCTCACCCCCCGGCGTGCGCGCCCACGGCCACACTCACACCCCTGCACACCCAGCCACCTGCTCCCTCCCAGGTGCGCACCAGGCCGTCATCCCAGACGCCTGCATCACAGGCCCCACCTCCCACCCTGGACTCAGGCCACGCCACCTCCCACCCCCACCTGGACACACAGGTGCCCTCCCCGCGTGAGTGCTCGCCCTCACTTGCACCCAGCAGCCCACCCACAGCACTCAGGCCGCACTGGCCCTGCCCCGCCTCGTAGCTCCCGTGGACTAGCACGTCCACGCAGACGCCACGGACACGCGCCTGCCGGCGCACATGTGCACACACATCCTCTCGGGCCTGCACGTGGGCCGCCGGGCGTGGGCACACCAGTCAGTGAGGACCCCTCGGCTTCCAGAGGGGCAGGAGGGAGGACAAGGGGGAGGCCTAAGGCGGGAGGGGGAGGGCAGTGCTGGGGCCACAGGCAGCTGCATGGCAGGGTGGGGGTGGCAGGTGGGACCGAAGGGTGGATGCGGACAGGGCCTTCCTTTCTCCCGAGAGCACCCATTCCCCAGAGTGTAGCTTCGCGGCAGGGAGCCTCCGTGGCCCCGGCCGCCGCGACCCCTGCCCCAGCTCCACCCCGGCCCCCAGCCCCGCCCCGGGCCTCGGTGTTTGCGAGCTCCAGGTACGTGCCCATCTGCAGACGTGCCGAGGAGGTGGTGTGATTGCTTTAGCGCCGTCATTTTCAACCGTTTATAATCTTCTTCTGTGTCTGCATATTTTCTCTGTGCACATTATTCATCAGAGTAAAAAAAGGAACTATGAAAACCTCGACCAACTGTCCTATGACAACAAGCGCGGACCCAAGGTATATATGCATGGACGTGCACGCCACCCACCGACTAGGGAGCCCTGGCCTCCTGCGCCTCGGCCAGTAGGGCCGCTGTCAGGCCCAGCCGCCGAGCCGCAGGCCCGAGCAGTGAGGAGAGGCAGCAGGCAGCAGACAGGAGAGGGCAGGCAGGAGAGGGCAGGCGTGGGCAGCGTGGGTGCCTGAGGCCCACCGCTGTGACCCCAGCCCACACCCTCGAGGCAGGCACGGCTGCAGGAGGAGCTGCTCTCCGGGAAGTGCATGCGAATCTCCGGGTCCCCCAGGGTTTCCTCGTGGAACCCGGGAGGGCGCCCGGCACTCGGCCACCCGCTCGCCGGGCCAGGCCGCTCCTCGGGCCGTGGAATCAGACCTGAGAGGACCTCCTGTGGTTTTGGAAAAGTCGGCCCCGTCTCTGCTCCCGGTTCCAAAACTTTGGTTTCCTGTCCGCTGCACGCCTGTTTCTGAGTCTGGGTCCATTCAGCTTGCATGCTCAGAGCAGAGGTGAGGACAGGAGTGAGGCCAGAGACCAAGGAGAGCAGAGCAGCGCGCAGGAGCGCCAGCAGGCTGAAGACAGAACACGAGCTTCGAAGCCAGGCCAGGCGAGGAGCGAGGAAGGCAGGTGGCAGGCGCAGGTGGCAGGCACAGGCCTCGGCAGCCCTAGCTAAGCTGCCTCGGGGTTCCTAGCGGCTGCGGCCCGACTCTCGCCCCTGAGGCACTATGTCCCTTGCCCCCGCTGCTGGCTAACACCCCTGCTCACACCGCAGGCGGAGAAGGTGCTGCAGTTCGACCCGGGGACCAAGAACGTGACGGCGCTGCTGATGGAGGCTCGAGAGCTGGAGGCCCGGGTCATCATCCTCTCGGCCAGGTGAGGCCGGGCCACGCCCTCCCCTTCCCCAGGCTGTGCCTGGGCCAGGCGCCCACCGTCTGGGCCAGAGCTGGGGCACTGTGGGGCGAAGGAGCTTCAGATTCCAAAACACCCTCACCAAGGAGAGCCCCACTCCACCCCCTACACACCCCCACACACCTGGTGACCTGGCCCATCTGATACCCTCCGTCTGTCCCTCCCCCGCTGGGCCATCCCCCCTTCCTATGACTTGCTACCACTTGCCCTGAGCTGGGCTTTTGGGGTGGGAGGTGGATAAGACCCGCCTTTGGGGAGCCTAGGACTTAGGGAGGCACCTCTGCAAACCCGGCCCAGGGGAGTGACATGCAGGTGCGTGGGAGGGCCAGGTGCAAGGCCCCAGGCAGGGAGAGGACAGCCCTACTGAGACCGGAGGACAGGAGCAGCTGGACATGGGAAACCGTTCCACGGCCCAAGGAAACCAGGCTGCCCTGGGCAGGGTCTGACCCCACACTGCAACCTTGGGGAAGAGTCCGTGGAAAAAATCTCCCTATTGGTGAATGGCCAGGTTCTCCTGGGAAGGATGAGGCTAGGCCACGGGGGAGGATGGGGTGGGGAACCCTTCCCGTGGGACACGCTGGCCACTGTCTGCCCTGACCTAGAAGCTCCTCTCTGGAGGAGAGCTGCAGGGTCACCTCGCCCAGAGGATCTCACCCCAACCCTGCTGCCCTGCCAGTGGGAAAGAGCCGGCAACTCTCAGTCAGGGCAGGGGCCATTTGCACAGTCAGTCAACAAACCCTCCGGCACAGAGCCAGGCACACTGCCCCGCCCTCTGGGGCACAGTGCAGGGTGGGGCCCGCCAGGCTCCTCAGGCTGGAGGGCAGGCATCTCCACGGCTGGACGGGGCTGGGGCTGCGCTCCCCCAGCAGCTGCCGCAAGACAGCACAGATCGTCCCCCGCCACACACCGCCATTGACAATGGCGAGCCCCACTGCAGAGTCACAGGTCACTTGTCCACTCGCCCACCCAATGGTGGGCACTGCCAGAGGGGCCCAAGGCTTTGAGAGAAACGATTAAAGATGTGCTCAGGCAAGGTCGAGACTGCACGAGCCCTGCCCACGTCTTATTTTTCTTTTTTTAAGCAATTAATTAATTTATTTTTAAATTTTTTTGTAAAGATGGAGTCTCACTGTGTTGCCCAGGTCGGCCTTGAATTCCTGGTCTTAAGTGATCGTCCAGCCTTGGCCTCCCAAAGTGCTGGGATCACGCTCTTGTTTTCTGACGCGTTTATACTTCCCTCACTCATCAGAGGGCTAGGGGTGGATTCAGAGGATGTGGCGGGATAAAAGGATGCACGGCTGGGTGGACACACTTTTGCCATAGACAAGGCCTCACCAAACCAGACCTGCCAGACCATACATTATTATCAGAGTGACCAACAGGACACGGGCCAGAAAACCACATGCAGAACCAATCCACGGAAACTCACCATGCCCAGGTCCCAGCAGAGAGGCGAGCGGCCCCTTCCCCACTGTTTTCTGTCTGACCAATGAGCCCTTAGGTGACACTCTGCAGCCACAGGGACTCCCCTGGGACGGCGGAGGGCCCACCCTGTATTGCCAGCCCTCAGGATCAGGGACAAGTTTGCCAGACATGGCTCTAAGTAAAATGTCAGCCCAGGGAAGGGGACGTGGTCACAGCAGGCAGATGCACGAACATGCGCATGAAGCAGGGGCAACACCATACACCATGCACGTGAGCACACACCACATAATACCACATGGGCACACACATGCACACACCATATACACACCACATGTGCGCAAATGTGTTGATCACATGCCACGTAATACCACCTGGGCACATACATGCGCACGCCATATACACACATGTGCACAAATGTGTTGAGCACATAGCACATAATACCACATGGGCACAGACATGCACACACCATATACACGTGCACAGACATGCACACACCATATACACACCACACGTGCACAAGTGTGTTCAGCACATACCACATAATACCACGTGCACACACATGCACACACCATATACACACATGGGCACAAATGTGTTCAGCACATACCATATAATACCACACGTGCACAGACATGCACACACCATATACATACCACACGTGCACAAATGGTGTTGAGCACATATCACATAATACCACATGGGCACAGAATGCACACACCATATACATACCACACGTGCACAAATGGTGTTGAGCACATATCACATAATACCACATGGGCACAGACATGCACACACCATATACACACACATGCACAAATGTGTGCACTCACCATATTCACACGACTTATACACACATCCCCACACACCCATACACATGTACACGTATCATGTACATACCATACACACATGCACATGAGACATGCACATATATATATACACACACTGCACAGTCACACGTGCACACCATCATATACACCACACACACACTGATACACAGGCACCCACCTAAGTGCATGTACATATATACACCACACATGCACATGCATCAAAACATGCACACATACGTGTCCTTGTGCATATGTACACAGCATATACATACCACATGCTATGTACATGCCATACGCCATGCATATGCATATACTGCACACAGCATACATATCAACCACACACTCACCAACACCCCGCTTCAGGAATCCATGTACATATGTCAGGGCTGGAAAGAACCCCCTCCTCTCACATGCTGAGCCCCAGGAGCAGAGGGCAGACAGCCCCCAGCGAGCCCCACCCCTGGGAGCACAGGTGCAGCGCCAGACACAGGCCTCCACCCCCAGAGCTTCCACCTGTCACATGTGGGCTCCTCCTCAGTGAAGGCTGTTGAGGGTGTTTTGGAGAGAGACTTCACTAAGCCAATCTAAATTTTTAGCCTATTTTCTATAGAGTGAAAAGAATTTGCTTCCAAAACTTTCATTTTTATTTTCCTGAAATTGTCTTTATTGGTATCAGCCATTTCCGTAGAACAATCTGATGAGTTTTGATGGATGGATCAGGCTTATGTTTCCAACTGTTTTGCTGATCATAATCATTCCACCACGTTGATGTCACAGACCTGAATTGTGTCAAGAAGACGGGCTTCTCTGTCAGGTCTCGGTGGGCATAGCCAACAGCGGGTGCTCTGTGCCTCGACATGCACCGCCTGGGTCTCGCCGGGCTAGCGTTGCCGTGTTCCGTGTGCAGAGCCTCTGCCAGAGGCTCTCACTTGGGTCGCTAGGCTGGTGCTGCCTGGCGCACCTCTACTTCGTGTTGCCTATGTCCACCAGTAGCATTGCCATGCAGAGCAAACACTGAAGGTTTGCATTTCTTCGTGGGCTAACCCTTGAGAAAACTGGGAGTGGACCCCTTGGGAAGCTGAGGGCCACCTTGGTTTCCAGAGTCACCCCAGCCCTCAGGCAATCCGCCCAACCCATGGCGCCTGCTGCCCATGCACTGCAGAAGCAAAGCGCCAGTGGCGGTCCCACCCAGAGCCAGGTCAGGGCCTGAGGGGGAGGGGGAGGATCCCCAGGGCCCCAGAGCCCCACTGGGCCCCAGGCCCTTGTCATGACCAGGGAAGCTCCGGCCCCAGGGTATCCCGTCCCCTGCTTCACTGTCCACAGGGCTCACCCATGAGACACCCTAAGACCTCAAGGTGCCTACCAGGTGAGGCTTGTCTGAGCTTTGTCCTCTTGGTGGCCCTGGTCCAGTGGCACAGGGGAGCAGCTGCAGTGCAGACTCCAGGAGGGAGAGCAGCCCTGGTCTCTCTGGCAGCTCCTGGGTGCCGGGTCCCACCGCGGCACCTCACCAACCCAGACACGTCTGGACGCGGAGGACCAGAGGGGCGCGGTTTGCCCAGGAGGTTGCAGGAGCTTGGGCTCTGGGGTGGACTGTCCAGGCACAGAACTGACTCTGTCACTTACCAACACTTGCAAGCTCATGTGCCTCGGTTTCCTCTCCTGACACAGAGGTAGAACTGATTCCTGCCCCCTAGGGATGCCGTGAGGTTTAAATCAGATAACCCACGTAAAGCACTTAGAACAGTGCCTGGTATCTGGTCAGCCAGTGACCAGTACGTGATGACCCAGCACGGTCCTGGGTCACCCGCCAGGGGTCTTCCCGAGGAGAGGGAGGGGCCCCGGGAGCACAGGCAGAGGGGACAGGAAGGAAGTCAGTCCCGTGAACCAGGTATCTAACCCTGCCCCTGCCCCAGCCCCTGCCTCAGAGGCAGGGGTCAGCCACAGAGGTGGGGAGGCTCCGTGGGTCTCCCGGCCAAGGCGCAGGCGGGGCGCAGTGTGGGCCGGGCCCCTCTGCGGGGTCCGCAGGCCTCGCTCCAGGAGGGTCTGGGGGCGGCCTGCGCTCGGAGGCGGAGGACCGGGCGGCGGCGGGAGGGCTGGGGTCCCGGCCCTTCAGCCCCGTCTGCCCCACAGCGAGGACGACGCTGCCACCGTGTACCGCGCAGCCGCGATGCTGAACATGACGGGCTCGGGGTACGTGTGGCTGGTTGGGGAGCGCGAGATCTCGGGGAACGCCCTGCGCTACGCCCCGGACGGTGAGTGCGGGGCCGCCGCGGGCGGGGGGAGGGTCCCGCGCGCTCTGAGCCGCCCCCTCCCGTCCGCCCCCCAGGCATCATCGGGCTGCAGCTCATCAACGGCAAGAACGAGTCCGCACACATCAGCGACGCCGTGGGCGTGGTGGCGCAGGCGGTGCACGACCTCCTGGAGAAGGAGAACATCACCGACCCCCCGCGCGGCTGCGTGGGCAACACCAACATCTGGAAGACCGGGCCGCTCTTCAAGAGGTGGGGCCGCCTGCGGGGGGCGGGAGGGGGGCCGCCTGCAAGGAGTTGGGGGCACTGCTGTGCAAGAGGTGGGGGGCCGCCTGCGAGGTGGGCGTGGTGCAGTGGGGCCTGCTGCCGACATCCTATGGACACTGGCCCCACTTCTCTCCTCCCCCGCCAGCTCCCCAGTGCCACCACCTCTATTTGCACTGGGACAGTCATCCACCCCTTTTCCAACACTGACACCAGTACCTCCACTCTCAGCAAAGTCGTAATTGCCGCCAGGGCTGCCGCCCCCACGGTGGCTGGCAGCTTTGGGAGGAGGCTCTTGATGCAGGTGGGGTCTGGGAGCTTCCCGGGACCCAGGAGGTCAGACAGCCCGAGAAGAGCAGCCAAACCTGCAGAGAGCCGGGGTTGGCCGAGTCCTGCAGATCCAAGCGGACAGCTACAGGGTGGCAGGAGTTAACTCTCAGAACCCCTGGGCACCGCGCCACCACCGGGGGTGGGGAGGCCCCAGCCACTGAGTAGCCCGTATAGAACCACTGTCCACAGTGCCCAGAACAGGGGCACACATGTGAGTGCGGATGTAGGCAGCACAGGTGCACACATATGTACACATGTGCACAGAACTATGTGTTCACACAGACTCAGAGAGGCACGGAACACACACCTGCCACGAGTACTGCATGGGAGTGCAGCCCACACGGGGTCACGTGTGCACCCAGGTTCACCGATATCACCCGAGGGGTGCAGCACACGCACACACAGCCAGACAGGACAGCCCGGTGATTACAGCCAGATGCCAGGCTCAACCTGCCTGCCTCCCTCGCCGGCATGTGGGCCAGGTGTCCTCCGGGGCTTTGGCTTCCTTCTCTGTAAAGCTAGGATGGTGGCCGTGAGGACCAAACATCCTAACCCATGGAAATCCCTCAAAACAACGTCTGGCACCCAGAAGCCACTCACCTGTCACTGGCTGTGCTGTCCCCCTGATGCGGGCACATACTCCCGCCGTCCCTCAGACTCACAGCGAGAGTCTGCTGATCTTTCCGTTCTTGGGCCTGGGGAGAAAGGAAGCTCGGGCTGCTCGGGAGGCCAGGGAGAGCGAGCACCCTGACACGTCTACACCATGGTGCTCCCCCACAGAGTGCTGATGTCTTCCAAGTATGCGGACGGGGTGACCGGCCGCGTGGAGTTCAACGAGGACGGGGACCGGAAGTTTGCCAACTACAGCATCATGAACCTGCAGAACCGCAAGCTGGTGCAAGTGGGCATCTACAACGGCACCCACGTAGGTGGGGGTCATGAGGGGGTGGGGGCTGGGGCCTTAGGGTCCTGGGGCCAAGACCCCTGCGTGGCCACCCTCCATCTCATACTCCCACCCCCAGGTCATCCCTAATGACAGAAAGATCATCTGGCCAGGTGGTGAGACGGAGAAGCCTCGGGGGTACCAGATGTCCACCAGACTAAAGGTGGGGGCCCGACCAGCACCATCCCCAGCCCGGTCACCAATCCAGCCCACCAGGCCTGAGGGTGGGGGCAGTGAGGTCAAGGAAGCAACTGGAGGAGGTGGGGACGGGGCCTGCCGCACCCGTCACAGCACAGGCAGCGGGAGGGCAGAGGGAGGAGCGCTGCCTCCACCCCACGGGTTTTCTCTAGCCCCCTGCTGACCCAACCCCATTTAGGTCTGGGGAGGTCATCTGGGACAGGACTCCCTTGGGGAAGAACTGATGGGAGACAGTGGGACAAAGGGATGGTCATTCTGCATCCCGGTGCAGACCTCAGCTTCGCACTTGCTGTTCTGAGTCCTGGCCTTCCACACCCACATCCCTCCTCCAGGTGGGCAGCCCCGTGGCCTCCTGGCGTGACTAGCTCAAAGGGTCCTCTCCCACCCTGGCCTCCCTGCAGCACTGCCCTGCAGTGGGACATGCCCTTCTTGGCTCTCCCTGGGCCTCTGGGAGCCCGTCCCCCGGCTGGCTTCCTTCTCATAATCTTTTCCTCGGCCTGACTCGTGCATTCCTTTGCCCTCATCCATGGGCCCCTCTCTGCTTCCAGGGTGCTCTCCTGAGGGCCCTTCCCACCCCCCACCCCCCGCTGAACCACTCCGCACCCACACCACAGCTGGGCCAGTATCACAGACCACCAAAGGCAAGGACCTCACGTGCAATGTGCCAGCCAGCCCCCTCCTGGTCCTCACACGTCTCTCAGCCCTGTCTGCTTTCTCCACACCCTACAGCAGGGCGGGCCCCGTACCCTCCCACCAGACCACTCTGTCCGCGCCTGCCCTTCCCTGCAGACAGGGTGGGCTTTGCCAACGCCAATGTGGCATCTCCCTGCAGCTCAGACACCTCGCATGGAGAAGTCTGAAAGTGACAGTCAAAACACCAGAGGCCAGAAGGCCCCCTCTAGGCTGTCAGTTGTAGATGGCTTTTAACAATTTTGTTTCTGGCCTCACTGATTTTTTAAAAAAGTACTAACAGAAATAACACAAAACATAAGGAGCGTTTTTAAAAACAAAATAAGCTCCTTTAAGGACTCCCAATCCCCCCAGGGATAAAAGCCAAAATACTGCCCTGGGAGCTGAGGCTGGGCCCTTGCCACCTCTCAGGCTCTGTTCCCCAAGAGCTCACCGCCCTCCTGCCTGGCTGACTGTCGCTGGGCTCCTGCCACCCCATCAGGCAGCTCCCGCAGGACCCGTCCTCCGCATGCCCTGGCCCTGTATCTGTCCCCTGCCCGGCCTGCGGTCCCCTGAAAGACAGGAGGTGGGCTGAGGGGCAGGCTGCCCTGGGGAGGAGGGGACAGCATGGCTGGGGAAAGAACAGGACCACAGACAAGACTGCGCCTGCGGGGCTGCGGGGGCTGCGGGGGCGGGCCGGGAGAGGCACGTGTCCCTGTCCTCGCCGCACAGTGGGGGCAGGGGCGGGGGCTCCTCGCCCCGAGAGGGCAGAGAGGTGCCGCTCACGCCCCGCGGAGGGAGTCACGTGCAAGCCACGCCGGAGAGTGGCCCAGACGGTTCTGCAGTCGCGCTGCGCCAGCGCGGGCGCCGAGACGCCAGGCCCGGCCCGGGCGGCCGAGGGTCGGGGGTCCAGGCCGGTCTCCCCCACCCCGCAGATTGTGACGATCCACCAGGAGCCCTTCGTGTACGTCAAGCCCACGCTGAGCGACGGGACGTGCAGAGAGGAGTTCACGGTCAACGGCGACCCGGTCAAGAAGGTGATCTGCACCGGGCCCAACGACACGTCGCCGGGCAGCCGTGAGTGCCGGGCGCGGGCGGGGCGGGGCCGCGGGGCGGGGCGCCCGGGAGCCCAGCTGTCACCGCCCCCTCCCCAGCGCGCCACACGGTGCCGCAGTGCTGCTACGGCTTCTGCATCGACCTGCTCATCAAGCTGGCGCGCACCATGAACTTCACCTACGAGGTGCACCTGGTCGCCGACGGCAAGTTCGGCACGCAGGAGCGGGTGCGTGGTGGACACCAGCGGGCGGGCCGTAGGGGGCGGGGCCTGCGGCAGCCGACGCCTGTGATGCGCTAGTTTTGCTCGGCTGAGACCTGTCGCAGGAGGGGCGGACAGGTCTCACCTGCTCTGTCGCCCCGCAGGTGAACAACAGCAACAAGAAGGAGTGGAACGGGATGATGGGCGAGCTGCTCAGCGGGCAGGCGGACATGATCGTGGCGCCGCTGACCATCAACAACGAGCGGGCACAGTACATCGAGTTCTCCAAGCCCTTCAAGTACCAGGGCCTGACCATTCTGGTCAAGAAGGTGTGCAGGGCCCGGAGTGGGGTGCAGACCTGGAGGCTCGGACAGCCCTGACCGCCTGTCCCCTGCAGGAGATCCCCCGGAGCACGCTGGACTCGTTCATGCAGCCCTTTCAGAGCACCCTGTGGCTGCTGGTGGGACTGTCAGTGCACGTGGTGGCTGTGATGCTGTACCTGCTGGACCGCTTCAGGTGAGCGTGACCTAGGGTCCAGACACCTCCATCTGCAGGGTGGGCGGGGCCAGGCAGGGCCACCTCTCCTGCCCTCTCTCCCACCTGCCCTCTGCACCCCGCAGCCCCTTTGGTCGGTTCAAGGTGAACAGTGAGGAAGAGGAGGAGGACGCGCTGACCCTGTCCTCGGCCATGTGGTTCTCCTGGGGCGTCCTGCTCAACTCTGGCATTGGGGAAGGTAAGGCCACACCCAGTCCGGTCCTATTCTGCCCTGCTGTAGGGGAGCTGACTGAGCCTCTGCCCACAGGTGCCCCCCGAAGCTTCTCAGCACGCATCCTGGGCATGGTGTGGGCCGGCTTTGCCATGATCATCGTGGCCTCCTACACTGCCAACCTGGCAGCCTTCCTGGTGCTGGACCGGCCAGAGGAGCGCATTACGGGCATCAACGACCCACGGGTGAGGCCTTGCCGGGCTGGAGGAGGGGGTTTTGAGGTTTGCTGGCATGTGCCTTGGGTACGGGTTGGAAGAGCTGCTGCGAGCCCGCCCTCTGCCCCTGCAGCTGAGGAACCCCTCGGACAAGTTCATCTACGCAACCGTGAAGCAGAGCTCTGTGGACATCTACTTCCGGCGCCAGGTGGAGCTGAGCACTATGTACCGGCACATGGAGAAACACAACTACGAGAGCGCAGCGGAGGCCATCCAGGCCGTGAGGGACAAGTGAGGAGCATGTGGGAGGCCATCTCGGCTGGGCAGGATGATTGAGAGGGTAGGGAAAAGGGTGGCATCCACCACACAGGAAAAGTGGGCGTGGGGAGCACCCAGGCTGGGAGACCATGGGTCGACCATGGCAATAGACTGGCAGGACAGAGGACAGCACACGGGCTCGGGGAGTGAGGCTAGCCCAACCGTGCAGGTTTCCTGACCCCCACCTCTGCCGGCAGCAAGCTGCATGCCTTCATCTGGGACTCAGCCGTGCTGGAGTTCGAGGCCTCGCAGAAGTGTGACCTGGTGACTACAGGCGAGCTGTTCTTCCGCTCAGGCTTCGGCATAGGCATGCGCAAGGACAGCCCCTGGAAGCAGAACGTCTCCCTGTCCATCCTCAAGTGAGCGCGCCTGTGCCCCTGCGTCCTCACCTCCCATCTCCAAGAGCCTCTCCACCCGGGGTGGACACCCTCCCCCATGCCTGACCCTACCAAGGCAGCGCATGGATCCCACAGCCCAGGCCAGGCGCTGCCCACTCTACAGCCACCCCCTGCAGGCCCTGCCCACCACAGGCCCCACCCCAGCAGAGCCCCACCCCGCCTCAGTCTCCCCCACTCCTGCACCCACAGGTCCCATGAGAATGGCTTCATGGAAGACCTGGACAAGACGTGGGTTCGTTACCAGGAATGTGACTCGCGCAGCAACGCCCCCGCGACCCTCACTTTTGAGAACATGGCAGGTGCGGCCCACTGACATGGGTGGTCATCAGTGGGCTGCGGCCCCTCTGGCTAGCAGCTGAGGCTCTGGGTCCTGGCGCACAGGGGTCTTCATGCTGGTGGCTGGGGGCATCGTGGCTGGGATCTTCCTGATTTTCATCGAGATTGCCTACAAGCGGCACAAGGACGCCCGCCGGAAGCAGATGCAGCTGGCCTTCGCGGCAGTGAACGTGTGGAGGAAGAACCTGCAGGTAGGGCAGGCCACCTCCGAGGCCTGGTGCCCAGGGCCCGGCCTGGCCACAGCCCTCCTCCATCCCTGAAGGCTGTGGCACTGGCTCTGGCTCCCATGGGCAGGACTGGAGCTAGGAGCCAGGGCCGGGGCAGTGGTGAGTGCTCCCAGGGCACAGGGGCAGCATTGGTGGGGGCTGCCTGCAGGTGGCTGCCCACTGCAAAGCCGGGCCGAGGGAGGCCACGCACCCTGCTCCAAGCCTCCCCCGGCCCCTCTGTCTCCAGAGTCGCCCAGTGGTACCCATTCGATAGGAAGGCAAGCAGGCAGGGTGAGACAGGCCACTTGTGTGTAGCACGTGAGTCCAAGATGCCTTTTGCCCTCCGCCGCCCCAAGCCCCCTGGACACCCTGTGGAGACCCTCGTTCCTGCTACGTCCTTGTGCTCCGTGATTCCAATCTGAATCAGGCCAGGCCCAGCCCTACCTGGTGCCCCAGGCTGTGTCCATGGGAATTTGTCGCCGGCAGGGGCAGCCTCAGCCCACCTGGGACAGGGTGGGTCGTGGGGCCTGCGCAGGCCTGAGGGCTGTGGCCCACGGTTGAGCTCCGGTTCACTCCATTGCTTCTCTTTCTCTGGGTGCGCTCCTGGAGCCTGTGTCCTGAGATGAAGCTGGCACTGCAGTGAGGTGGGGGGCTGGGTTGCTGGGGCCCACACACCTCTCATCTGCCCATTCTTGCTCTTGGCCCCACAGGTCCCCTGGGGACCTGGCTGCTGCCGCCACTGGTGGGCCCAGGCTGTCCTGGCCAGCAGACCTGAGGCCAGAGTCCTGGGAGCCGCCTGTCTGTCGCTCCAACTCCATCTCGACACCCGCCTTCCTTCGGCCCCTCGGCCCCTTCCTGAATCTTGGTGTGTGCCCCCTTGGGGGACGGTGGCCTCCTCGAAGAATGGCTGGTGTGGCCTGAGGGGAAACTCCTCCAGTCCTCGGAGGGCTCCTCTTCCTCAGACGTCTGTAATCCAGGCCCGCCCCGGAGCCAGGGAGCCAGGCGGACCTCCCAGGAAGAGAGCCGGCTGGGACCCCCACACCCAGCCCCAGCACAAGCACAGTCAGGCCCAAGGCCCTGGGCAGGAGAAGAGGCCACCCTCGAATGTCCAGCTGTCGGCCCGTCTGTCCAGCACAGGGAGGCAGGCAGGAGCGAGGGCCTGAGTGGCCGGCCAGGCCGGGCAGCGGCCCACCGAGGAGCAGGCGAGGGCAGGTGTGGCCGCCACCCTTAGCCGTCTAATCACTTATACATATTCATTTTAGGATAGAAAGAGTGGTAGAGCAGAGCCCGACCCTAAAAAGAAAGCCACATTTAGGGCTATCACCTCCACCCTGGCTTCCAGCTTCAAGAGACGTAGGTCCTCCAAAGACACGGTAAGGGGGAGAGCACCCCAGTCCCACGTCTCCGACTCCTCCCTCGCTCCCCCGCCCCTCCGTGTCTGTCTCCCCCCCCACCATCCTACCCTCGCCCCACCTCGGACTCCCGAGGCCCCCCCCGCATCTCCACCCAGGCAGCCTCTGCCACACGACTCCCCAGCCTCCCGACCCCCGCTGGGTCCTCAGCTTTCCCGTGTGTCTCCGTTAGTCTGCCCACCCCCCGCCTCCCCCTGCCATGACCCACACGCCATCTTGAAGCCTGTCATGTCGTTGGTCAGTCAGTCAGCCTCACTGCCTCTCTGGGCCACATCTGAGGCCCTGGGAGCCCAGAGCGGCCCTGTCCCGGCTCCTCACCTGCTGGGAGGCCACACCACCTCTCTGTTACGTCCCTGTTTCTCTTGCCTCTCCCAGAGAGGCCCGCTGCCCTCATGCCCTCCCTGCGACGGCCCTGGAGGGGGTGGCTGTGATGTCCCATCCCGTCCGTCTGTCTGGCCGCTGGCCCCGCCCCCCAGACACCTGTCTCACCTGTCTCACCAGAGCCATGCGTGTTGCATCTTCCATGTGGTCTCTGTGTGGGCCGGGGGCTGGGGGCTGGGCCTGGGTCCATCTGGGTGGATGGCTGGGTCCTGGAGTTGGAACTGTCCCCTGGCCACAGGGGGCTGTCAGGCAGGGAATAGGGTGGGACCAGAGGGGTGGCTCCCACTCCAGGCTGAGCAGGGGCCCTTCAGGAGGTGTGGTGGCAGCTCCCCAAGGGTCTAAGGACAGGCAGGGGCAGCCCTGCAAATCCTGGCCTGCAGAGCCCAGGAGACTCTGAGGTTCCCAGACAGAGGCCCAGAAAGGGGAGGCCTCCGGGGAAAAGACCACACCTCAGCTCCTGACCCTCAGACACTCACCCCCCGGGGGTATCAGAGCCAGGCCGTCTGCCCTTTTGAGCCTAGAATAACCCCCCCCCCCCTCCCCGCGCAGCCTCCTGCCTCGCAGCCTGTCATGGCACCGGGTGTGCACATTTGGATCACAGGCCCCCAGAATGGACCTAGCCCTGCTAGAGGCACCGTGGTCCCAGCTAGCATGGTGGGAAGGGGCTGCCCAGAGAGCCAGCACAGGCCTCAGCCAGTAGCCGCCCTGCAGCCCACAGGGGCTTGGGAAGGAAGTGGGATTTGCAGCCCTGCCCCGCATGCTTGGGAAGAGGGGCAGAACTCCAGGGCACAGATAGGACTTGGCACAGAGCCACCCAAGCCCAAGGTGAAGCCCCAGGGTACCCCGAGACGCCCCATGAAGTCTGGCTGCTCTGCTTCCTGGGGAGGGACATGGCACAGGGAGGGTGGTGGAGAGTGAGGGTCTGTGGGTCTGAGAGCAACTGGAGGCTCAAGGAGCAGGGGGAAGCACAGTCCCCAGGGCCCCTCAGGCCCAGGAAAGAGGGAGGGAGGATAGCTCGGCCCAAGAGGACTATGGGATGGGCAGTCGGGGAAGAGGATGGTCTCCCGCAGACAGGAGAGAGCCACTGGGGGGCAGGCAGCCCAATGTGTGCAGGTGACGGGCCACTCTCAGAGCCTGCAGCTGGTGCAGGTGCAGCTCAGACACCTCGCGGCACCCTTCCAGGGACGCATTCCCAGCAGAATCCTCGCCTGAGCTTCCCTGGGCACCCCGCGGCATCTGGGGCCACCCGCCCTGTAGGGCTGACTGCAGGGCACTGGCAGCGGGGGGAGGGGGGCTGGACGGGGGAGGGCAGCCCAGCTCCCACCCCGTCTCAGGGGCCGGGCGCCTGTTCAGAGGGAGGCCTGGGTGGGGGGCTCCTTCGGGCAGGGTGGGGTCGGTCTGGCTGCTGAGATCCTCTGCCCCTGTCCTGTGGCCCTTCTGGGCCAGGGCCACACTGGGCGCTGAGGGCTGGGGTCCCTGGCGGCCGGCGGGGCCGGCGGGTATTGATTGTTGGTTCTTATTTATAGAGCACCGGGGGTGGACGCGGCGCTTTGCAAAACCAAAAAGACACAGTGCTGCCGCGACGCGCTATTGAGAGGGAGGAGGGCCAGCTGCAGCTGTGTTCCCGTCATAGGGAGAGCTGAGACGCCCCGCCCGCCCTCTGCCCCTCCCCCGCAGACAGACAGACAGACGGACGGGACAGCGGCCCGGCCCACGCAGAGCCCCGGAGCACCACGGGGTCGGGGGAGGAGCACCCCCAGCCTCCCCCAGGCCGCGCCCGCCCACCCGCCGCCGGCCGGCCCACCCGTCCCGCCCGCGCAAGCCCCCGGCGCGGGGCTGACGGGCGCCTTGTCTGTGTATTTCTATTTTGCAGCAGTACCATCCCTCTGATATCTCGGGCCCGCTCAACCTCTCAGATCCCTCGGTCAGCACCGTGGTGTGAGGCCCCCGGAGGCGCCCACCTGCCCAGTTAGCCCGGCCAAGGACACTGATGGGTCCTGCTGCTCGGGAAGGCCTGAGGGAAGCCCACCCGCCCCAGAGACTGCCCACGCTGGGCCTCCGGGCTGTGCGCCCACCCGCCCTACTGCCTGGCGGGCAGCTCCTGCCGGACCGAGGTGCGGACCGGAGCGGCTGAGGACGGGTCAGAGCTGAGCCGGCTGGGCAGGGCCGCAGGGCGCTCCGGCAGAGGCAGGGCCCTGGGGGCTCTGAGCAGTGGGGAGAGGGCCTGACCGCCCGGCGGAGGGGCTTGGAGCAGAGACGGCAGTCCCGCCCTGCGCCACCGCGGGGGCCACAGCCCCAGCTGGCCGGGTCGCCCTCTTCCAGCGCCTGCGCTCCTCGGCAGCCTGAGCTCCACCCTCTCCTCTTCCTGCTGCACCCCACCCACGCCCCACCTCCCCTGGACCCCGCGCCGGCTGGCCCTGCCCCTCTCCCACGGCCGTCCCTGACTCCCCAGCTGGCAGCGCTGCCCAGAGGCGTGCTCGGGCTCCCAGCTGCCTCGGGCCTTCTCCCCCAGACTCGAGAGGGCTGAGCCCTTCTCTTCTCGTCCGGCCTGCAGCCCAGGACGGGCTTCCCCAGACGCTGGCTCGGGACTGTCTCCTACCCTGCCTTGCACCCTGGGCACGGGAGAGCGCGACCGCCCGCCGTCCCCCGCCTTGTACAGGACCAGCCTTCCCAGTGCCCGCGCGCAGCCGCGCTCCGCCCCCGCCCCCAACCCGGTGTGTGCAGTGGTGATGCCTAAAGGAATGTCACAAGATTTTCGGTCTGTGTCGCTTGTTGACGCTGCCAGGGAGTTTGAAGGGAAGACCAAGGGGTGGGGGAAGTTTCGGGCGCCGCGGACAGCCAGCCTGCTCAGGCTTGGGCAGCGGCGGCAGCGGGACTCGCAGGGTCCGCGGGAGAGGCAGAGCCGTCGAGGTCGGGGTCGGGGTCCGGCGGTCTCCTTGGCGGCCGGCGGGCAGCAGTGCGGCGGCGGCGGCGCGCACGGCAGGCGGTGATGACCGAGCCCAGCACCAGGCAGGCGGCCAGGCTGGCGAGGAAAGACGCAGGCCCGAGCACGTAGACCACGGCCAGGTCCCGCGAGGCGAGCGGCTTCGCGCAGTGGCTGAACGCGGCGTCGGGGAAGGCAGTCAGGCGGCTGAGCCTCAGGCGCCTCGGCGATGTGCAGAGCAGCGTCTCGGCCTCTGTGGGACACGGGCGCGGCGTCAAGAGCCGGCGGCGACAGCCCCGCCCGGCAGACCCCGGCCCGCGTCCCCGACCGCTCACCTGCCGCTGGCGGCGGGTGCCGGCGCAGCCAGGTGCACAGCGGGCGCAGGGCGCAGCTGCAGGCCCAGGGGTTGCCGCGCAGGCGCAGCGAGTCGAGGGCGGGCAGGCCGGCCAGCAGGCCAGGCGTGAGCGCCGTCAGCGCGTTGTCCTGCAGATTGAGTGCGCGCAGCAGCGGGAGCGCGCTCAGCGCCGCGGGCTCTAGACGCGCCAGCCGGTTGCCAGCTAGCGAAAGGGTGCGCAGCGCGCGCAGCGGCGCAAAGGTGCCGGGCGCCAGCACTTCCAGCTGGTTGGCGCTCAGGTCAAGATGCTGCAACGCGCCCAGGCCCCAGAAGGCCCGCATGTGCACGGAGCGCAGCCCGTTCTCGCGCAGGTCCAGGCGCAGTAGCGCGCCCGCGCCCGCGAAGGCACCGGGAGGCAGCGCACTCAAGCAGTTGTGGTCCAGCAGCAGCGCGCTCACGCGCCAGCTCAGGCCGGCAGGCACAGCGGGCAGCGCGAGGGCTGAGCAGTTAGCCTGGCCGCCCGGCGCGCAAGCGCATGCCTCGGGGCATTCCGGGTCGCCCCCGGGCCCCGAGGGGAAGGTTGTGGCTGGCGCTTGGGCCCAGACTGGCCAAGGCGACAGCAACACCAGCAGCAGCAGCAGCAGTAACGGCGGAGGCCGCGAGAAAAAGGGGCTCCGCATAGGGGCAGCTCTGGGACCCGCGGCGGGAGGCCTGCTGCCCTGCGTCCGCTGAGCCCGTGCGTCCTCGAGCCTGTTCCTGCGGCGCCTGCATAAATATTAACTCTGGCCCGAGCGCAGGCAGTTCCTGTCCCACAGCTGGTCCCGCGCCTGGGGCGGGGGCCGGGCACACAGCCAACGCCCGGCACTGCCTTCCACCTGTCCCGAAGCTCTGGGCTCCTATCGGCTCAGCGCCAGCCGGGGGACTATCAAGACCACTCCACCCCTGGCCCGCCTCGTCCGCAGCCGGGCGCCGCTAACGCCTGAGCAGCAGGGCCACACCCGCCCGCACCCACCGAACTCGCGGATGCAACACACACACACACACTGCACCCTGTGCGCCCTGCTCCTCACCCAGCCGCGGCCTGACTCGGGCTCAGCAAAGTGACCCGACACACACACACGGAGTGGCGCCTACGCAGGGATGGTCCCATTTCAAGGGTGGATGACTGGTGGGGGCCCGAGCTCGAGAGAGAGGCCTTGGGGCGGAGAAGGCACCGCACACACAGGCAGGGGAGGTGCTGCCTGCCCTCCCCTCCCCCCAAAGGCTTTCCTGAAACCTCAAAGGGAGGGCGTGAGTGCAGTGGGGACCAGACAGCAGCCCCAGTCCTCCTGTCAAATGCTACTCCCTTTGGAGTTGCCAATTTCAGGTCCTGTCCTGGGGTTTTCCCAAGGTGAGGGTGGGTGGGCAGGGGCCCAGGATGCCACGCGGCTTCATGGTACAAAACAGCAGGGAAGTGCAGGGAGGGGCTGGGCCAACTGGCTGAGGCAGGAGGCAGGGGAAACACCAGGGCTGGGTTCTCCTGCCCGGGGGCTGGGGACAGCAGGGGCCTGGTGTAGGGCCTGGGCTCCCCTCCCTCCACTGATGATGAAGGCCCCATGTGCCACGCCCCTCCCATGATGCAGGCTCGGGTAGACTGTGGGAAGCCAGCAAGGGACACAGCCACAGCCACCAAATACTGTTTAATCCCCTCCCCAGCCGCCCTCACCCTCCTCAGGCGGCAGCGGGGGCGGCGGCGGCTCCTCGAGAGAAACCTCCACGGGGATGGGCATGTGCTCCTGCAGGGGCGGCATCGTCAAGGCCTCCAGGTCGGAGTCCATGAGGTGGGATTCCACGTGCACCGTGTGCAGGTCCACGTGATCTTCCTGGACCCCGAAATGCCCCACCAACCTGCGCAACATAGGCCAGGTCAGCACCGGCTGGCGGGGCCTTGACCACCAGGGCAGGCCAGCCCTTGGGGACAGAGCTGTCCACTCCACTACGAACTACACTTCCAGCCAGGGGGCAGCGGGGACCCGGCTCACCCTTGAGGCCCTCTGCCACACTCACCTGCTGTCCATGTGTCCGGGGCATGTTTCACTGAGGGGACAGAGGCAGGCGTGAGTCCTGGAACAATGCTGGGGTCCCCCTGTACCTCTCCCCAAAACAACCTGGGCACTGCCATTCCCAGTCCCAAGTGACAACCCACCGAAAGGGCAGAGGCCCCTCGTGGCAGGACCAGGGGCCCAGAGCGGGCGGCATGGTCTCACTCCCACCGCTCCTGGCCCTGGGGCTCACGCACCCTTTGGCTCGCAAGATGCCAATTGCCACGATGACCAGGGCGCAGAAGCAGGTGGCACTGACACCCGCCAGCACCACGAGCAGGGCAATCAGGGCCTCACGGCTAAGGCCAAGGCTGCATTCGCAATAGGTTCCAGCTGCAGAGACAGGGCCCACGAGGCCCAGGGGGCATCACCTGCCTGCAGCGGACCCCAGGTCCACCCTTGCCCTGTTGGCCACCAGCAGGACATGGACACCCCCACCTGGCCTAGGAAAGGGAGGGGCCCTGGCTGGGGACAGGGGTACTGGGGTAGGAGGAGGCACCTGCAGCAGGGGTGAGCAAAAGGGACAAACATATGAGGCCCAGGGGGCTGCCAAGCAGGCAGGGGGCAGGCTGGGGACAGGGGGCCATGTCCAGCCCCAGGCCCCAACACACGCCTCTGACGGAGCTGCCGGAAGGCACTGACCTCACAGTAGGCTGTTAGGTGGGGAGGGTGGGGGTGGGGCTGCAGAAGGCCCGAGGCCAGCGTGAGCTTCACCCACCCTTGGGCCCTGGGACTCCAGGAGCCCTGGGCAGGCAGCCCTGGGAATGGGGCAGGTAGGTGGGCAGGTGCCTGGCTGCGTCTGAGGTGGGCTGTGGTGGGGCTGGCCCAGCCTTAGGGGGATGGTCCTTTGTTGTGAAGGGCGGGGCCACATTCCAGCCCTGGTGTGGGGGAGACACCGGCCTGGTGTCCCCTCTCTCTCCGCCCAAGAGTGCAGCGGCTCAGGGTGGGGTCTGTGCGCCAGCTGCCTGCATGTCACTGCCCCACCCAGGGCTGGGGCAGGAAGGGACCAAGGAGGGCCAAGGGCTGGGCTTGTGCCCAGTTGCCCTCACTGAGTGCTTTGGGGAGGGTCTGGCTCACACTCCCAGCAAACCTCAGGTCGGGAGGGCTGCTGGCACCCCAAGGGACCCCAGATCACCCAGGAAAGGTCAGGGGTACCGGCCACCCGCCTGGGCAGGACCACAGGCCATGGCCTTCCTGGAGCTTCCCCCTCAGGGAGCAGGTGGCTCAGAAATACCTGCAGGCACCATCCAAAACTGCAGCCTAAACGTGTCATTAAAGTCAGAACCCGCTTCCCCCAGTGTCTGCTCCCTCTGCAGACCAGGCAGGCACTGCCCTCGGAGGTCGACCGCAGGCTGGCATGGTCAGGGTTAACCTCAGCCTCCTCCCTGAACCTGCTGTTCCAGGCTGCGCCCCTGCAGTCCTGGCCTCCAAGGGTAGCAGGAGGAAACGCCCACTCCATAGCTGACCGGGGCCAGGCCTCCTGCCAGCTTGGGCCCCACCAGCCCTGGTCACCAGGGACGCCCTGTCGACACTGATACCCTCCTGCTGGGGTCCTCTGGGACCAGCCAACAGCCTTTCTACTTATTGAGTGATGCCGTGATCCAAGACGCACCCTGGGCTTTAGGACATGTCCGGAGGTGGAACCTGAAGGAACACAGAACAAAGGGTGTGCCAGGGCCAAGGCTGGCACCAATACCCTGATGGGCCAGCCCAGCAGGTTTACATCCTGGTTAGGGCAACGATGCACACAGCCAGGACCAGGCGGCGGCTACGGACGGCGAGATCCAGACGAGGCCACCGCCTGGAGGGCATGGCGGGCCCAAAACAAGCCGAACCCCGGCCAAGGCCAAACGCCCCGAAGAAAAGGAAGGTCCCCCTTGGGAAAAAAACAACAAAAAAACCCCGGAAGGAAAAAGAACCGGCCGGGGGAGTGACCCGGGCGGACGAACCCTCCTCGGCTGGTCAGAAACCACAGGTAATCCTGCAGGCACACACCTGACGCCCGCTAACACCCGCCACTTCCTCCTGCAAACCCCGAGGCAAACAACGTTCTAGACCAAGAAGGGGGTGAAGTCCTTGCCACCTGGCCACCCCTCAACAGGCCAGAGCTGGAGCAGGACGGGACGTGGGTGGCGGCTCCAGGGACCAGGGCAGCACAGCGGACACCAGGTGGGGGTGCTGAGGCTGGGCGTGGCTCACGGCCTGGGAAGGCACCCCGGGTAGGAGCAGGACACTGGAAGCCTCTGTCCCTAGCGAGGACAGCGCAGTCAGGCTAGATCGAGTCCTGCCCGGAGACAGCACCTTTGGGACAGAGGCCCAGGTCTCAGCAACTGCGAGCCCAGAGCCCAGTCCCGGAGCGCCCGGTTCTTCTTTTTTTTTAAGGCAGTCTCACTCTGTCACCCAGGCTGGAGAGCAGTGGTGTCATCACAGCTCACTGCAGCCTCCAACTCCTGGGCTCAAGCATCCTCCTGCCTCAGCCTTCCCAGTAGCTAGGACTACAGGCGTGAGCCACGCGCCCAGCCCTGGTTCAGCTTTGAGGTGTCTCAGGGTGGTGCAACCTTGCGGCAAGAGCAGTGCTGGGGCCTCCTGGCTTCCGGCTCTTGGACAGGACCTGCCCCCCCAAGGGTTGTGGGACGCTGGTGCCCTGGACAAGACGGGCGCCGGGGGCTGTGCTGGGGAAAGGGGAAGGCTGGTCCCTGAGCTCCTCCTCTGAGCCCGGCCCTTGTCAAGTACTGCTGACCACACCTGTGGGAGACGCGGGAGTGATGTGCCTTCCTGAGCGCACGCTCAGGAGGCCAGGGCACTGTGGCCACCCTGCAAGAGCATGGAACAGGTGGACAAAAGCCTGGGCCCTCTGGCACCAGAGCATGTCACCAGCCAGCCCCGTGCTGCTGGAGACATGAGAAGTTCTTGGCTCAGGAGGTCACCCGTGTCCCTCAGAGGTCTGAGGGAGTCCGTACGTTGTCCCAGCTGCAGCCCCGGCACACGGCAGAGGACACAGGCTGTGCAGGGGCGGGTAACCCAAGGGCTCCTCTCAAAGGCCAGAGAAGCAAGGATGGAGCTGGAGGTCCGGCGGGTGGCAGCCAACCCCTGGGACACCCCTGCCTGAGCTGCGGGCCCAGACATAGGCCTTCACAGGCTGGTCCCCGAGCACCAGGGCCAGGGGGTGGCCCAGGACACCTTCAGGAGGTTAGAGCCCAAACGCAGATGTGCAGGCCTGGGGTGGCCCCCTTGCCTGCTGCTGGGGACCCGAGCCCTGCGGGCCAAGGTGGAGAGGCCAGTCTGGAGGGAGAACCTGAACATGTCTGTGGGGGCCCCCAAAAGCCACCAGGACAGAAAAGGATGGACTGACCTGCTTTATTCTGCACACTGTGGAGGCTGGGCAGGGTCTCGCAGAGGGAAGGGTGCCCTTGGGCTGTCTGCCCGGGGGACACACAGGTGGGGTTTGCAGGGGGGACCTGAGCACCTGTGGGCAGGGCCTGGCGGGCAGGAGCGTTAGGTGCAGTTCTTGGGCAGGCGGTAGACACCGGCCGAGTAGATGAGCTGCTGGTCACGCACCTTCTTCTGCAGGAAGCCCTGGAGCTCGTGCAGGTCGATCTCGGCCAGCGCGGGGCCCGTCATCACGAACATGCGGAGCATGCTGTAGATGCGCTCGAGCGACAGGCTCTCCAGGTTGGTCAGCATGGCCTGGATGTACGTCCAGAAGAGCTGGGGACAGCAGCCGGGCCCACCACCAGTCAGGCCACTGCTGGGACTGCTGCTGCCCCCCACCCCCCACGGGGCCAGCACCACGCACCAGCAGCTCCTCCTCCTTCTGGTCGGCCTGGGAGGCCATGCCGGAGTCGCTCTCCTCGTCACTGTCGACGAGCACCATGTTGTCTCGGTCCTGAGGCCGCTCCTCCTCGATGACAGAAAAGGTGCCGGGAGGCTCCTCGCGCAGCACGCCCTGCTGCAGCCACACGGACATGCGCCGCCGCAGCAGCGCCACGGGCATCTTCACCACCTTGCTCAGCTCCTCCAAGGTCCAGCTGGCTGCGCGAAGAGCAGGCAGGGAGCTGGGCAGACGGCAAGCAGCTGCCCCCCCGCCTCCCGTCAGCCCAGAGCCCAGTGGGACCCGGGCTGTCTGCCGCGCTCTGTGGGAGGGGCAGGGGCACTGCCTGCTGGCCTGGGCTGCCCCAAATGGTGCCCACGCTGGGAGCAGTGCCTCCCACAGGTGACGGAGCGGTGCCTGGCTCTGCCCCAGGGTGTGTGGCCTCACCTTGGTCCTGAAAGTACAGCAAGACCACCGCCTGCACTGGGGTCACCGCCACAGACAGGGTGCGGTCGGCCAGCTCCACGTCCATGGTCACCAGGCCCAGGGTGTGCTTCCAGCTGAGGGTCCGCATGGCCTGCAGAGGCCTGGGGTCAGCGCTAGCAGCCTGGCAGGTTCTGGCCAGGCCACAGGCTCTCCGGCCCCACCCCACCCCCCGCCCCCGCCACAGACAGGGTCTGGCCGCCACCTCCTCAGCCGTATGATGCAGCAAAGGGCCACTGCTACAAGTTGTGTCCTCGAGGGCCGCCTACACAGGAACCCCCAGGGCCCTGGAATGCGCCCTCACTCAGACACAGGGATGATGAGGGCGGGAGCAGTTAAGATGAAGTCACGCTGCGGGAGGGTGGGCCCTAATCCCACAGGACGGGGCCCTTGTGAGAAAGCGGGAGATGCCAAGACGGGCAGGCAAGGAGCAAGCCCTGTGGAGACAGCAGCAAAGACTGGGGTGACGCAGCCACGAGCCAAGAAACACCAGGAGTTGGGGGAAGAGAGGGAGGACTGTCCAACAGGTGAGAGTGGCCCCGTGAACACCCCGATCTTGGGTTTTCAGCCTCCAGAACTGAAACGACCGATTTCTGTTATTTTACGACACTTTGTTACAGCAGCCACAAGAAGCGAACAGGTTTGGTGTTGGGGGCGGGGGCTGCTGCGATGTAGAAGCAGCTCTGGAACTGGCAACGGGTAGAAGCTTGAAGGATTTCGAGATCGTGACGATAAAAAGCTGGGCCGCCGCGGAGAGTGCTGGTGGAAACACGATGGCAGAGGCGCCTGCGGGGAGGGCCCCGCGGCATCACGGACGGAGCACTGGTAGAAAGACGGGCGTCACCGATGGAGACGCGGAAGGAGCTGTTGCGAACTGGGGGAAAGTGGCAGGAAACCGAGCCAACGGGGGTCACGCCGGGCGGCAGGAGAGCTCGCGAGTGACGAGCTTGGATGTGTAGCCGAGACATCCAAGCCGCGTGTGGGGACGCAGCGGGACGGAAGAGGAAGCAGCCGCGGAGCAGGGAGGAACCAACGGTTCATGTGGACGACGTTGGGACTAAGGGGAGCTCCGCAGACACGGCCGAGGGGGGGGCGAGAGACGTGTGTGACCGGGTCCGACCAGCTCAGAAGCCAGGAACAGGCGGGGTCTCCAGGGAAGGTCTGTGCAGGACCCTCTCACCTGACCTGGACACCCGTGAGCTGCATCGGAAGCCAACAAGGTTTCTGAGAATTTTATATGAGCAGAAACGCCACGAGCCTGGACTGAGAGGGATGGGGACAAGACGCAAGGAA